GAGGAGGTTTGAATGTGAGTTTTTGAACTGTGCTTGTCTGTTCGTGTCGAGAGCAGGCGGAGTTGGTGGTTTCGGTGGGAGCACGCAGCAGCGATCGAAGGCAAGGCTTGCCTGGGGGCCCTGGGGCAGCTTCGTCAGGAGCCTGTGTGACTAATGCTGTGTAACTCAGAAAAACAAGAGAGGATTAGCTCTGCCTCTTTCACCTCCTTCAGCAGCTAGTGGTGGGGAGCTCCATGAGACTGCTGCTGGGACATTTGGATGGTACCTCTGAGCAAGCTGATGGATCGGCTCTCCCCACTCAGTGCAGCCTTGTGGCAAGTAGTTTTGAGGTGGGAATCGTGCCTCTTGCTGGTTTTGGAGGCGAGGTGACTGGCTGGGATGTGAAGGCTGGTGCTGGCAGCCCCTCTGATACCTCTGGGTCTGTTGCAACCTCTCCATCACACCTGCACCAGGGGAGAAGCAGGATGGAGGTGGAGGGGGCTCAGGCTACCCAGTGCTGAGGACAAGGCAGCCTGTGGGGACCATGCAGGGCTGTGTCGTGCTCCTCCCTCCACACTCCCCGTGGTGTTGAAGGAGGTCACATCTCAGGATGAAGGAAGGGCTGACTTACAGTTTGAGCTTGTGCTTCTGTTTTTCCGTCCTTATTTTCCAGGATTTCTCTGCAAGGAATTGGAAAATCCCTTCTATGGGCTGCCGTGACAGCCTTGGAAATACCCAGATGGATTTGAACTTTGGTGCTGCAAAGGGCTTTGCGTATTTATTTTCAGCTTCCTGCTGTCTGCTTTGCTTAAGAGCTTTTGCTAGATCCTTTGTATATGTTTGTCCTCGCTCCTCTTCTGGAAACCATTTGAGAACATGCTTCAACTATGACAAAACACACACCCCCCAAAAAATATCCCCAAACCTCTTGGAGGAATTTTGTTTTACCAGCGTTACGTGGTAAGCTGCGAGGCTTGCATAGCTGTGGTGTGTTGCTGTTTGGGTGCATCAGTCTAGTCTGGAGACTTCACACAGCAATTCACCAGGCTGTTGTGGATGGATCTTTAGAAAAGTGAGTGGCTGAGCAGGTTCAGCAGTGAATGGAGTCGTTAAACTGATTTTAAGTGACTTACCCTGTGCAAGACAAAGATATGAGGGATTGAAGCCTCATCTAGGTTTCCAGATGTACCACTGTGCCATCTTTCTGAGGTCATGCTTCCCATCAGCTTTAGCTGATCTCAGGCTGTTCTCCTGCCAGGAATCCTTCCCCTTTATTTTCTTCTTTCTGGGATGGCTTCCAGTTGGATCAAGCAAATGATGGTTGCTACCACAAGTGTAGAGATGACTGGGATGTGTAGAAGGGGGAGGATGGAAAAGTCAGGACTGTCTGTTTTGGCAGAGAAGGGTAATTTTGGATCAGATGAGCATGTGGGAGTGGGCGTGGCTTGCTGAAGGGCAGCTGTGTAGCCCCTGGTAGAGCATGTCCTGCTTCTACCCCCGTTTCCTTCCCTGTAAAAGAGTGCTAAGGATTAACAAGTGTGTTAATATTTCTTTTAGGCTACAATGTTGGTAGAGGCTTTTGAGGGGCACTGCTATCTGATGGCTTCATGTACATGCTGGAAGTGTTTGGCTTCCCAGTTAACCCAGGGGAGGTTTCCCTCTGGGAGAACTTTGAGCACAGCTTTAAAAGAAAACTTTCTCCTGAATATATCAAGGAGAATATTAGATTGAATACAAGGAAAAAGTTTTCTGTGATGAGGGTGGTGATGCGCTGGAACAGGCTGCCCCCAGAAGTCATGGATGCACCATCTTTGTAAGTGTTCAAGGAGAGGTTGGATAGGGCTTTGAGCAACCTGGTCTAGTGAAAGGTGTCCCTGCCCATGACAGGAGGTTGGACTAGATAGTCTTTAAAAGTTCCCTTCCAACCCAAATGACTCTGTGTTTCTATGATTTCTCTGCTTAAATACACTGCAGACCAGGGCCTGATGTGTTAGTGCCTCTCTGGGAGGGACAAATTCTGCTGTCCTGTTCTCCTCTAGCCATAAGGCTGGGGGTAGGTTTATCCTCTTGCCTGACTTGTTAAAAACCTTTATCTGACCCATATCAGGCTGAAAAGCCATTGTGCTAGGTGCTAGTTGCAAGCATGTTATTGCCTTGATGATGACTTCTCATGGCCTGGTGGCTGGGGAGCTGGCATGGCTGTGGCAGCGCTCACACTGTGTCATAGCTGTGTCTGAGGAGTTCATTCTGCATGTTGTGTTGAAGAGAGTTGTGCATCTTCCTCCTAAAAGCAGTGCAGAACTCAACCTTGATGTTGGTTTGGGGGAAACCATGACAATTAGTTTGAGCTTGAAATTGCTGATGTTGGAAGATCATCACAGGAGGGGGGCAGAAATTAGCATAAGCCTCTTAGAGAAAACTTAAATATTCTCAAAGCTGGCAGGAAACACCTCATCCCCTACTTAGGCTTCAGAGGAGGGTTTCTTTAATGGTGAGTGTATCTGCTTGTGACCGGGGCATTAGCAAAGCTGCACAATCAGGCTTGAGGTCTGGCAGGTCCTTCAAGGTCATGTGCCTGCTCTTTTGGCCGGTGTCACCCTTCTGGTTTTACTGCTTATGGTGTGGGGGACTGGTCACTCCTGCTATGCAGAACCCTCCTATTTCCCTGCTCCATCATTTTTCTTGCACCCTTCACTCCTGGTCTGGAGATGCTTCCTTCTCCCTTTGTAATCACCTGGTATTGCTCAGTCTTCTGCCCCCTTACTTCATAACTTCTTTATAAACTCTGGTGAATCTTTTTTTGCTGCATGAAATGAAATAAAGCGTTACCGTGTTTCTGCAGCACTACTTCAATCTGCCAACAGGCAATGAGTCATCATGTCTTGGTCAAGGACAGAAAAGGATTGCTGAGGTGGTGACACTGAGAAATACATATTTTGGTGGACAACTTGGAGGTGCAGGAACGTAGCAGAAGAGCTTTGCTGTCATGAGTGTGTCATCCATGCTCTGCATTGCCTGGAGCGTGGTCATGTGTCGGGGAGGAGCAGCCCTGGGATGAATGATGCTGCTGGGCACCGTGAGAAAGGAGTTTGGGAGCAGGGAGAAAGGCTGGGCAGTCTGATTCCCTGGCACTCCAGTATATCTGTCCACTGCAAGAGAAAATGCTTTGTCTGAGAGCTGCAGTTGCTTTGGGAAGGCAAGCCAGGCCACCTCCATATGGGTTTGATTAAATCCAGCAGCACTTAGGGAAGATACAGGCATCTCTTTTTGATTTCCTCAACCATACTGGGAGGCGAGGAGTTTTGAACTTTGCCAGTGATGTTTCTGCAATGTTCTCTTAATAGTAGAAATCACGTTGAGAAAGTTGTTAGAGGAAAAAGGAGCCAGAGGAGTAAGGGAGAAAAGGTTGTCTGCACGGCAGCCATGCTGATCTTCTTTATATGCTGAGCCCTGGGGCAGCCATGGGTCAATGCCAGTGCAGATGAAGTCCTACAAAGCTAAAGCAGCGCCCTTTAGATTTAAGCTATGTGACACTAAGGTATGAATTTCCTTGCTGGGGGAGGAGAGTTGTCCTTCCATACTTTTATACATAAGCTGCCACTGAAGATTATTGGCCAAGTTGGATTTGTCATGTTATTTCTGTCTTTGTAGAACTGCTGAACAGTATTCATTTACTGGCTGAAAAAGAACAACAGAAGACCCTCCTGGGGTCTTCTACATAACAGGAGTAAGTAACTTTTGTGTTTTGGCTGGCGTGGTAATGTAAAGCAACAGGGAGAGTGATTATAAATGGTGATGGAAAATTTGTGATTGAGGCTGGAGTCCAAAGTCTGTGCTGTGGTCTTGTGGCCTTCTGCATTGTTTTCATCCTCAGAAATGCCTTCATCCCTTCCATAATGGGAAAGGAGAAAGGGAAAAATGAGGGAGGGGGCACTGCAAATGAATTGCAGTTTTTCTCAGTTTTTTAAATACCAGCTGTCAATGACTGAGGTCTCTGAGTCACCCACAGAGACTAGGAAAAGCAGGCAAGTCTCTTTTTCTCAGTCCAAGGTAAACTGATGTGCTGCATGAGTAAGTTTTCTCACAGTTCATAATGAAGTCCAGTTGGCAGGAAATACACGAGACATTGTCAGGCTGATTCTGTACCTTCCCCTTGCTGGTTTGGTGCTTTGACTAGATAAGTTGTCCCTCTCTGCTTTTTTACCTCCCTCAGATTTCAAATCCTGTCTATCTTACAGCGTGTTTGAGGATGGTCGCTCATCCACCATGTTCCTTGCTATCCCTGAACAATTGCATGAACAAAATGGGAAAAGTAAAATTGTATTAGATGTGGTGACCTTTGCTTCAGTTGTATCGTCAGAGAAACATCTCCTTACAGGTGCTTAGAATTATTTCCAGTAAAACATTCCTGATACCTCTTCTTTGGCATGCAGCAGACACTTCACATGCCCAAACTGAGGTGTTTTTGCAGCCTCAGAGGCAACTTCTGTCACAGCTTTTGCTGAGTGCTCCTAGATGTCTTTTCTGTGACTAAGGTACAAAAGCTTTATATAGCAATCAGTGGGAGATATAAAACCGTTTCTATTATGAAGCCATAATGATGAATCAATAATAATGATGATGATGAAAAAATGGAAGCAGCCTGGCTCTGACATCATGTGGGATTTGCCTGCTCTGCAAACTAGAAGAAATTGCACAAGTGCTGTGGAGCAGATCTTCAGCAGCGTCTCAGGGATGTTAACTTCGGTGCACTGACTGTTGAGGAGGCTTTACTGGACGAACAGCCTTGGTTTGGGACTCATCGTCTTGCCTTTTACATTGGCTTCCTTTTGTGATTTTGGAGAAGTCCCCTGACAGCCTCATGCCACATACCTCCACTGTGGTGCCCAGGCTAGACAGGAGTGTGTCTAGGGCAGGGATCTAAACTCTTCCAGTTCTCGCGAGATTGCTTTGGCATCCTTCCCTTTCCCCAGCCAGCTCTTACTAGTGTCGCTAATTACTATTTTCTCTAATGCTTACAGGATTTGCCAGTTCCTTTATGCCAATGGGAATCGTGTCCTGGCTCCTGGTCAGTGCTTTAAGAGAAGCCGATGCTCGGAACAGGTATGTTTGCCATGCTCCTGGCGAGGGGAAGAGGGTCTTTATGGGTCCAAGAGTGAAACATGTGCAGAGTTTGCCTTATGGGTGTGGAGTGGACACTGTGAAGGAGAGTACTCCACAGTGAGTAGTTATTTTTTCCATCCAGACGCGTTGTGAAAACACGCAGGCAGAAGACAAAGTTTGCATTTAGCCTTGCTGACGGCTTCTGAGGGGAGCACTGGAAAACACAGTGCCGCTGCAGAGCAGCTCCTGGGAGGCCATGCTCCTCGCTAACGCAGGCACAACCTTTTCCTTCCAGGAGCACCAGCTGGGGAATCCCGGCTGAGCTCCCGGCTGCGCAGGCGGCTGCTGCGCCTTCCCGCCTTGCTGGCCTTTGGTAGCTCCCCTGTGGTGTGTGTCTGCCTGCATCCCAAGCAGGAGTGGGAGGGAGCTGTGTTCGTGTTGGTATCCAACCACGAACAAATCTGCTGTTGTTTTCTTAATGTATGGCAAGAGCAGCCTGTAGCAGCTTATTCCTCCCTGGATAATTACTGCTCTGCTCTGCCACGGATTGCTAGCCAGAGCAGTGGAGTAGTGCCTCCGTTGTGCTGCCCTGTGTGTCCTTTTGCCGGAGTTATTTGATTAGTTATTGCTTTAAGGCATCAGTGCTCAACTGAAAAATCTAATCTGCAGTCTTAGAATGCCAGACAGTTTGCAAAGTGGATTGCCTGAGTTGGATATGGTCCCTGAGATGCCAAACATGCTTTCAGTGATGCCCCTTGCTGTGCTACCAGCAGGTCCGCTCGCACCTCTATTTCATTTCCTGCGTTACTTTGAGGAGAAGAAAATATAGGGCTGGGTTGCAATCTACTTTTTATCAAATGGAATTATGTTCTCGGCTGACCAGAGGTGTGTGTGCAACCACTGGAATTAGAGTGAAATATTTTGCCATTTGTGGTCGCTCAGGAGAGGTCTGAAAAGCGGGTAGATGGATACTGCTGTGAGAGCGTCGATGAACAAGAAGGGATTGGCCTGGCATGCTGAGCTCGAGCCTTCAGCTTGCCATAAGAGCTTACAGAGCAAAAGAATCTCCTTCTGTGAACGTCCATCCCTGATGGATCTCATCTCAAAATGGCATTGCCTTACATTTAGCTTGTCTGAATGGCCCATTTGACTGTATAAGGACACAGCCATAACTTGCTGCATAAAGCTTTCTTGATCCCTAAAAAAGTGAAATGGATTCATTACGGAAAGAGACCTTTCTTGAAAACCTGGTTCATCTGGGACTGTCTGGGCGGTGCCACAGACACGCTGGAGGAGTAGGAGTCAGGGTGGAGCTGTTTCCACCTAATTCTCCTGTAATTCTCGGGGTTTATCACACCATGCAAGCAGATGTGTCTTCCACTTCGGAGTATAAAGCAGAGCTGGTTAGTAGAGCGCTGCCTGTGCTTCCCATGTTAGCCTTCTCCTTGTGCTTTCCTTTTCTTGAACTAATTTTCTATCGTAAAAGGCCTCTTATTAGAGGGAGAACCATAATAAGAATGGGAACAGCAAAGGTAGGAGTGCCTCCATTTGCTAGCAAGGTGTTGCAGGTGCGTCTGAGTCGGAGGGAGCCAGCACTGAGTCAGTGCCCCAGACTCCTGGTGACACGGGTGGCAAAAGCCCAGGTTCTCTTCTAATGCCAGAATTGCAGCAAATTTCCTGTAACAAGGTTTTGCCTCTTATAGTGACAATATAGGGAGTGCAGTGCCATCCTCTTCCGTATGGGTTATGAGCAGTTTGGTTCACTGGGGGTGCACTCAAGTGAGGGTGGTGACACTTCTCTTCCTGCCAAAACAGATGGAAAGTTGATTTATCCCAGCACCCTCAACCCTTTTTTTCCCATTTTCTTGTTAAGATGGGACAAGTCACAGGAGTTGCAGCTGTCTGTTGAGCTTGATGAGATTCGTATGCAAATCTGGAGGCTGTGTTCTACTGGCAGATCTGCTTGCATGTATTATCCACTACTTCATCGTATGGAGAAGGAATCTATTTTCTGAAACACGGTTTATTTTTAGTCAAGACTTTCCCTGTCTAACTGGCAACAGTTCAGCATTTGGAGTGCAATTTGCAGAAGAAGCGATTTTGCCAAATACTCGGACTGGGGGAAGGGAGAGGAAATGTCATATTAGCTAGTGAAAAAGCTAAATGCTGACTTGAAAAATACCTTAAGACACTGTTGTGAGAGCATAAGGTTGGGTAATGCAAATTGAGAACAGCATTGCATTTGCTGCAGTGGATAATTTAGTCTGGGTTGCTCTTGTTTTTCATTGTGATGGCTGCCACAGAGGTTAACCAACAGTGGATGGGAACTGCTCTTCAAGGGCAGGTGGTGATGTAGCCAACCTCTTGGCCTGACCCTGAGCAGTGAATTAGCAAAGTCACCTTAACTGCACCCATGGGAAGCGTTACATCATGCAGTGTGTTGCACTGTCCTGTTGCACTCACGTTTGGTGCCACAGGAGGTTCACTGAGGGTTGAGCTCTTTGATGACATGGAAATTATCATACCCATGTTTGAGTACCCTTGTCAGATACCCTGAAATGAATAGGGTGGCACATGGGATGTCCTGGGGCAGTGTTGCAGCTGTCTCCTCCTCTCTTACCCAGCTGCTGCTTCAGGGACAAACTCTCTTCATATGCCTCATTGCTTTCACCAACTGCTCCTAACCACTCTGGGTCTTGCACTGGCTTCTCACATAACAGCTACCCTTCAGAGGTAGAAATATCTTCTTCTTGTTCCTGCATCTCCCCTGATGTTTCCATCACTCCTTTTACAGAGGCATCTTTGTTACCATTAGCTGTTAGTGCTGCAAGGACCAGACATCTGAAAATGACACCAGAGAGTGGATGACCGTGTTCAAAGCCTTTGGTACTTACTTCTCTGAAAAAATGAGACTTGATTCCATATGTGGGCATGTAAATATTTGTTTACTGCTGCAGGTTAACTCCCACGGTTTGCTTTATCTTTCTTCTTTTTTGCCCCCCTCCCATAGCAGACAATTGCACAGAAGCTTTGTCATGGTTCCATTAAGAAAACAAAGAGAAATTGTTCAGTTTTAATTTTCTTCTGAATGTTTGGAAACCAGAAGAAAGAGGGCAAGTAGCACTAGGAATTTAGGCGTATTCTGCATTTGGTCCAAGTGGGTATATGTTGCCTGCAGGTAATGGAGCTGTATCTTTGTGAAAGAATTGGGGGTGAAATGAAATTTTAAGTGCTGTTTCAGTCATTGGAGTAGAAGCACCATGAGAATCAAGGTAGGAGCACCCATCAACTGTCTAGAGCAGTAATCTTCCCAAGGGAATTAATCTAGTTTACCTTGATAAAAGAATTTATGCAGTGAGGGAAGTCTCTGCCATTTCCTGTTAAGCTTTCTGAGAAGATTAGGAAAAAATAAGTGCCAAAATGACACTCTTCTCTCCAAGGGAGAGGGGGCATAGGTCTTCCAAAGACTTGTTAGCATCTCCTGTTGAAAAAACATCTGTATCAGCTGGCAAATCAGGATTGTTGTAGTTACTCAAATTTCCCTAGTTCCTGGGAACTTTCTAGTTACAAACCTATTTGCAAATCCGATGTACACGTGGGATGCAGAAGATCTCCTGTCTCCCAGTGTTGCTGCAGTGCTCGGCCCCACACTTGCCATACATCTGATGGCCTGTGGATATAGACACTTCATAAATTTGAAGTTTTTCCTTAGGGAAAGTTTGTGAGTGGTTGGTTTTTGTGGGATTTTTTTTCCTTTTTTTTCCCCTCACATTGCTAATTATTTCAGGGGAACTCCTATCTTATTTGTGCTTTCTCCCCAAAAGTAGTTCTTTTCCTGTCGGTCTCTTGCCCTCAGAGGCCGGAAGAACACTGAGATGTTAGGAAAGCCAGTCTCTGCTTTAAATGGCCTTAAGCATGTGAATATTCAACTCAGTTTCCTTTTACAGTGACTTGCTGCAAAATGACTGGGAATGTCAGGGCATCCCTGGTTCACTTTTTCTTCTGACCCTCAGGTTTCACTCCAGCGGCTGAGTGCTTGAAGGAGGAAGTGTCTACCTCGAGCTTTGAGTACACTGGTAGGAAAACATTTTTTCTATCAGTGAATTTTTGCTGGTGGTGTTGAACTATGCTTAAACTATGTGGGCTTATGTTGTAATCTGCTGGTAAAGGTACTGTGAAAATAGCTGTCCTGGGTTGGACCAAAGGTACATTCCAAATGAATACCCTGTCTCCAGTGGTGTTAGTGGAGCTGCTCTGGAAGGAGCTGGATGGAGGCTGAGCAGCCTAATTCAGCATTCTATCTGCTCTAGTTTGACATCATGCCTTGCAAATGTGCTGGGTTTTTGAGCAGGCTGAGGTCTGTGCTTGGCTGGCAGCCTCCAGCCCCAGGTACTCAGGCAGGTGAGGAGTCTGTGGCTGAAAGCTGAAACCCAGATCTGCATGTGAGGTTGCAGCAGTGGAAATTCTGACCATCTGTGGGTTACCGTCAGCAGAGAACAGAGCTGACTTCTGCAAGGGTCAGATTGCCGTTTTTGAAATCTTTGTTTAGTGCAGGTGAGCAGTTGCAGCACGCAGGTCTGATCCATGGGCATTCCGCAGTTCGTGCTTACGCAGCAAAGTGTGACGGTGCCAATGTCAGCGTCTCTCAGTGTGGTTTCACGCGCAGAGATGTCATGCAGCCCTTGTGGAGGATCAGTGTTTGGTGACTGTCTAAATTGCTGCTTATCCCTGGAGGTGGCTCTGCTCTCCTTTGCTCTGTAATTACTTGCCATGCAATGTGTGCTTCCCAGCAGCTTTTTAAAAACGGCAGTTTTTAAAAGGGAAGTTAAGGAACAGTGGACAGATGGTCATCTGTGAGGACTGCTGGTAGTGGGCAGGGGGAGTGGTTTTAGCCCTGGTACTTGCATGAAGCATACTCTCCAGGCAGATCCCACTGTGACTCTTGATGAAGTTTCCCTTTTCTTGGCTGGCTCATTGGAAAACCCTTTTCACTCCAAGTTTTCTTTGGAAAGACAAACGCCCACACAGATGGCTACTCTTCAGTTGTCATTTCTGTTGAGATTTTTTATGTTCCTTTTTTCATTACTCTCAGGTGAAACCCAGGCTTGCAAAAAACCCCATATAGCAGAATTAGAGAGAAATGAAACAGTAAGGATATTCTGCTTTTTCTCTCTAAGCTGAGAATGCAGTGGGCTATCTCATGTCTTATCAGTTCATAAGGGGCTGCATTGCTTTTTCTTTTTGGCTGAGTTTCCATGTAATTCACTTGTTTGTTTTCCTCAGAGAAAAGACACAGCTTTCATTAAGAGTGGTTTTGGTTATGTTTTGCTGCTTGCTGAGACTGTCTGAGTGGTGCCACTTTTTCCAGACAAGTGCCAGTGCTCTGCTTTGGAGTCCTGCTGGTCTAATCTGGGTTGTTTTTTTTTTTTTCCAAGTAGCTCTTGGAATTGCTAGATTGATAAATAATAAGTGTTTTTAGGTCTTTGAGGTATTGTAACAGAGGGGAAGGGAAGGAGAACGATAGCATTGCTGGAAGACATGGGTTTGGTGTGCTGGTGATTTATGAAGTTACGGTCTCTTGCTTGTATCCTTTGCTGGGATCCAGGATGTTGTGAATGGTGCAGTCCATAAAACCAGAGTGGTCTTGCATTGCTCCTGGCCTTTTAGCCATAGAGAACAAGCAGAGTGAAGTCACAGCTGGCTGGTATGCAGCTGTGGTTGGACTTTACGTGCCTTGGAGGCTCCTGTACCAGGATGCCAGGGTGCAGGAAGATGAGGCTGAGAAAGAAGGTGAAAATGGGAACCTGAAATGGAAAAGGTTTCTGGTGGGTATCTATAATTGTGGCTTGTTGTCCATTTCTTTGTTTATTTATATAACCCATTTCTTTGTTTATTTATCCAACCCTGAAAAATTGCTGTGGCAGGGCCCGTGGAAGGCTTTGGGAGGCTGGGAAAATGCCAGCACAAGGTGGTGGCTAGTACTTCCAAGTGTATTATTCCTGAAATAGGCATTACAAAAAAAAAATCTAGGATAGCTGTTTTTGGGGCTTCGCTGGTCATGCTTTGAGTGGAAATAAGACTGTCTAAAGGCTTCCTGAGGAGGGCAGGGACTAGCCCATGCACAGCATGTGACAGTGCTGACAGCGCTGCCATCAGCCCCCATGTGTTTCCAAACCTCCATGTTGCATGGTGAGGACCACACCAAGGAGAAGCACAGTCCCCCAGGGGTTTAGCAGGTTGCATCTAAATCAAAGAGGAGTTTTTAAAGGATCCACAATCCATCCTTCATTCTGTGTTTTCTGCCCTGGCATGGTGCAAGCAGTCCAGGTGTGGCATCTGGGCTTGTCCCATATCCAGGTGGGAGCCATAGTAGGAGCATCGGGGTGGGGGCTGCATCTCTGCGTGGCACAAGTGCTGGCAGCTGCCAAAACCCCTGCACCAGTTTTCTGGATTAAACTGGGTAAAAAACAAGCTTATGAGAGCTGGGATAAATGGCTTGACCATGGTGATTTTCTTTTTGGTCTTTATTTGCCAGTGTGCAACTACTGTAATTCTTCTGTGTTAGTTTTATCATTCTTGATTTCCGAAAGTATGTTTTCCTTTTTTTATTCTTTTCCTGAGGGTTCTGGGCAGTGATTTCTAAAGCTATTGTGGTGTGCATTTCCCTTTCGCTCCCAGAAGCAGATTTCATTTTTGAATGAACAGCTCAGCATTGTTCACACTGTCTTCCACTTTTATAGGCTTTTCTTTAACCTCCTTTGACTTTGACTGAAACAGTCTCCTAAATGCTTCTGGAGTCTTGTGGGTCACATAGCAGAAAATATTTTTTTCCTGTTAGAGAAGGCCTTATTCAAAGCTCCAGGCAGGAAAGCTGCCTTTGTAGCGCTTACATTTAAGTTTATGAAAGTGTGATTCTTGTGTAGCTTTTGCTTGGTTTTGGCCAGGTTTCGGTTAAGATTGTGCCAAGTTCACCTTTCAGCAGGACTTCATAACCTGGACAGAGTTGACTTTCGTTGAAACATTTCTAGTGACATAATAAACCCTTTCTACACAGCATCCCACGTGTTAAATTTGTTCTACTCTTCCAGACCAATGCTTATTTTCAAGCTCACCCAATTCCCTCCAGAAAGAACAGGTTATTAATAGGATCTGTATGCATATGTGTTTACCAGGCTTGACATAGCTTTGCATCAAAGCATTCCTTTACCTACATTGAACTCAGAAGCTGAACTCTGTGGTCAGCATGGTGTACATCTGCAAACCTCCCTTGGTTTGTTCAGAGCATGATCTTCTGGCTGTGCAAAGACTTAAGTTTGCTTCCCTAGTTAGAATAAGCTGCAATAATGAATTTCTCTGCTCAGATTTTTTTTTTTGGTTAAGTATCTTTTATGTGAGATGTGGGGTTTTTTGCATTTTTGGGTTTTCCCCTTCCCTTTGAGCACTGAACAGGGGTGAAAGGCTTTGGTTTACACGAGCCCAGGTAGATGATACTTTTCGCATTGCAGTGGCATCTCCTAGGATGTGTCTGACTTCTTCCCCTCTCTGCAATGATTACTGATCTTGTCAAGGGGGAACTCCTGGCCTGTTGGGTATTGGGAGTCTGCTGATCCATCAGTGGAGGACTGTGATGAGCAAACTGCTCAGGGACAGGATGTGAGCCACCACAGCAAGTCACTGAAATCTTCTCAACCACCAGCTCATTATCATGACCTTGATGCTCAGGAGATAGGTTTCCTAAGTGTTAACCTGAACACACGATCCCAGTACTTGTTGCAGCTGACTAGCTAAGTTGGATGGGCTATAGCAAACAACATGCTCCTTGGCTCTTGTGTCCCTTAGGATAGGGGGAAAAAAGTAAAAACAAAACTGGTGGAGGTGGAGAATGAGGCACATGTAGAGATTAATAACCTTTTCTCAAGTCCTTTTTCTCTTTTATCCTTTGAATAAGCTTTTTCCCCCCCCAGTGTAACAACAGAATTTTGCAATAAAATCCACATGTGAGAAACCAGCGGTGCATCTTCTAGTCAAAACAGCCTCAATGTCATCTGACTATTTAAATGGCCATAGAGAAGTGTTTGGATTAAGCAACTAGTAGTGGAATGAATTAGTGTCTCCCCTTTAATGATGTAATGATGATGCTGTTAGAGAAACCACAAGAGAGAAACATTTCTCGGAGCATCTCTTCTGAGTTCATATGTATAAACTGCAAACTCAAGTATTTTTAATCACAGTTAAAATGGTTCTGGTTTTTTTGGGGAGATGCTTTTTCTCAGTTAGGTTTTGTGGCAGGGCAGCCAAATGTGCTTGCTGCTGGTGATGGGTTGGTCTCAGAGCGGAGGAGCTTGTGTCCTGTCTCAGTCACTGTCCTCTTTTCAAGTCATGCCTTGCTGTATCAGCCCCTCTGAGAAGCTTGGTGATAGGTGTGGAGGGATGTTAATTATTTTTCTTCAAAACTGTGTGGTGTTTGCCTATATTGACCTGGAGTTATACTCCAAGCATGGTGATGACTTTTGTTTCCATAGGAAAATATGCACTTTCTTTCATTCTTTAGTCTAGTTTAATTTAAGGTTGCTCTAAGCAGCTGTTTTTTTGGCCGTTTCAGATACCAGCCAAAAATATTGGTGTTCAGCCTTCAGAAGGCTTTATGTGTAGGTTAAACAAAGGAGTATTTTATGAAGGATCTAACCCTGGCACTGCAGCATCCCTTAGGTAGGTGTAGTGATGATTACCTAAAAATGCCAAAGACGTAGTAAAGTCAGAAGTTGATTGTGCTCATCCTTGAAAAAAATGGTTAGAAGTCAATTTAAAAAATGTAATTTTCAGAAGGACTAGTATTTGACAATTGTTTGAATATGATTTGAGTGAAAATGCCATTTCCTTCTCTTTCTGCCACCAAAATTGCAGATTCCTTTCAAGCCTCCAAGGCAAGATGATCAGTAGTCATCTCCATGCTGCAGTGGTTTCTCTCTTTGTCTCTTTTTGCCTGGTATATTAAGAACCCTCCTGGTAGGCTGGCTTGTATTTAAATTAGTTTATCCTCTATCTCAGTTATGAAGCTCTCTTGGTTATAGATTTA